AAGGCACTTGATGGCTCTGTTGCCTCCCTCATGTTGTGGAGGAGCATACTGTGTGCTTCTGGAGCCCCTCAGCTAGGCAGTGGAGGAGCAGACCACCCATGAAGTGCCCTGCATAACCTTCAAGCCCAGAGCCTGTCAGACACATCCACTGGTTAGTGAACGCAGCACAGCATAAGCCTGCCAGAGCCAGCTCCTCGAGACCTCTGCTGGCTGCTCACAAAGGGCCAAGAGCGCTGACTTCAGGGCCAACCACGGCCAGTGCAGACCTGGTTCTCACAGCAACTCTCTAGACCATCAGGACAAGAACTGGAGACTGGTTACAACCCCGAGCCAGATGTGGAAATTCTACCCCAGAAGGCAGTCCAGGGCTTTCTCACCCTGTTAGAATTCTTGTTGCTGTGTGGTGGCTCACTGCAAGTGAAACCAGCAGTGGCTGAGCTGGGGAGCGGCAGCCAACCTCAAGCTCTTCAGCTTATGGCAAATTCCCCCATGTCTAAGAGCTGGGGAAACAGCAGCAAGTAGGAAAGTCCCAGTGATATGTTAGTCACTGGCTCGGTAACCTTCAAGCAGAGGACAAACACCACACTGCTGTGAATGCCCTGCTCTTATACAACAGAGCACAGACAGGACCATGGAAGCAGCTGATCCATCACTGAACTGGGACAAGAGCTCCTGGGGCACATCTAGTGCAGTCAGCCCTCTATCAAAGACAGGCTGCGGATCACAGGCTGGTACTATACCAACCCTTGCCACTACAATTGCCTCTCTGCATTCAGAATACAGAATTTTAGGTCTCCTGCACAGATAGTCAGTTTTACAGAAAGTATTCTGGCTGAGAGCAAAAAAAGAATAAAACAGCTGCTCCTCCCCATGCAGCTAAATGTGCCACAGCAGTCAGTTCCCTACTCTGTTCACCTAGGGCAGCAGCCAGTTTTTCTTCTCTTCCACCTTGCAGTCTTGATGGAGGGACAGAAGGTGGCTGTGTGGAAATTTCCATATTGTAGAAAGCCACAGAAGGGACAGGATGGAAGCACAGCAGCACAAGGGACAGAGCAAAGTACCTTTGGCCAGAGTACAGGAGATATGTAAAGTTCCTCTCAACATTGCTTTCTCAGCTTGTCAAAGGAATAAGAATAGTCAGGGCTTAGCAGTGCTGCTGATGGCTGTTATAAGTACTCTGGGAAAACACACCAAGGTATGGCAATTTAGTAAACTTTACCTTTGCTTAAGTGTGTTAGTGAGGTACCTGGAAAGTGCCCTCTTCCTCACTCGGCTGTTTTTTTTCCATTGCTTTGGAGCAATCTGCTTTGAGAGACAATAGTCCTGCAGCTGAAAACCAGACCGGTTCATTGGTCTCATTGCTCTGATTGTCAGAAAGTTCACGCTGAGCTGTTGCTTGGCTTCCGACCTCATCACCGCAGTTTAGTCAGAGGGGGCCTTGAGGGCTGTGTGCCGTGCCTGCAACATCTGATGAAAAGCTGACGGCATGACATGCCTGCCTCAGGCATAGCAGCATGGTGAAAAAAATTAAAATTCCGGGTAATGTGTAATCATGATACATCACCATGCGGGAGCCCGGGGCAGACCTTTTACTCAGCAATCTGCAGGGGAGGGCAAATGATCTGTGTGTGTCTGCATTGCACAGGCACAGTTCCCCTTAGTCAAAAACACCTATTCTTTGTGAAAGCAACTGTATGCAAAATCACACTCTTTGGAAGCACCTCTGTCAGAGTTGCAAGCTGCACAAATCATGCTCCCTTATGAGTTTTCTACGGAAAAGACAGGACTAGGAGAAAGCAAACTGTCCTCCCAGTCTCTATTCACTAAGTTTTGTCACGTAATTCCACAGAGGTAAACATTAGGGAGCAGAGTTTTGGAAGTGACAACCCCCTCATTTGGTTTTCTCACCCTTTGTTCCTTTGGCCATGTCACTACTAGAATGCAACACCTAAAAGAACTTGTTTTCTTCAACAAAGTTTGTAACTCATGATGGATAAGCACTTGGACATCCTTGCACCCTGCCTGAACAATGCAAGATGCAGAGACAAGTTATTTAAAAAGGTGATCCCTCCCTCACCCTAAGTTAACTTGTCCCTACACCTAAGAACTTGACCCCACATCCTCAAGCTCCTGCTCCATACTAGTCTCACCCTCGTCTTGTGGTTATTTTTAGTTTTCCACAGGCAATGACAAACCTTGTGATTGACAGAAATTTACCAACAGCTGTTCTGTACAGGTGCATATTTCCAAGGAGCTAACACTGTTCAGAAAGAAGAGAAAGAAAAAAAGGCAGGGCTGTGGCATTCTCTGCAAAGGAAAAGCAGTGTATCAGAACTAGCTTCTCCTGAACTGGGAATACACCTGCTTTTCTCAGGAACTCATTTCACTCATGGTGAGTCAGGTTGCTAATACTTGGCAGGCAGCCAGGTGAGAATGATATGGAGGTGGAGTGATTGTGAGCAAGTAATAAATGGCATTATAACTAGGCTAAAACTTGACACAAGCCTCCACTTACACTGCAGTCTTACAAAAAAACCTGAAAAACACTGAAAATACACTTACTGTGATCAGTAATTCTCTATCCTAGTAGGAGCCGTCCACTAGCTAAAAAGGACACGCTTGGATGGTCCCACCCTTCGGGAATGAAGCTCCTCTCGGGAGGGTAAGCTCCTTTGCAAGCATAGGCTGGTCCCCGGGAAGTGTGGCTCAGGCCAGTAGACCTCACTGGCAGTCCTGGGAGCCAGCCCAAAGTCAGAACGCCCACACACTCTGGTGGGCAGATCATCATCTCAGGCCAGAAACCTGTCACTTGAAACCTACCTGCGTTTTATAGCCCCACAATAGCTCCAGATGGCAGAAGCAGAGAGAGTGGAGGATGGAACATAAACTTAGCTCCCACCGCAGTCATGCACTGTGCCTATCACAGGACACGGGGTGAGCTGGCCAGCCGCCCAGCCAGCCCCGGTGTTTACCGCCAGTTCTGGGTTATGCAAAGGCATAGGAATAGGGCTCCCCCTTCTCGAAGAGTTAGTTTGATTTCACCAAAGAAATACTGAAGGGAGAGAAGGGGGAGAATACCCATGCACAGAAAGCCATCCAACAGAAATGAGCAGACAGGAGAGCGTAACTATGCAGAAGAAAAATCAAGCCAGGGAAAGGCAGAACGAACGTGGGACTCAGCACAGAAGTGCTGCAGCAAACAGCTTTTCAACCCTGGCCTGAGCAGACCTCTCCTGGCTGCTCCAGCCCAGTGCAAGCCTTCCAGGAGGATTTCACAAAGAGGACAAGGGAGAGTGCAGGAGCAGAAGGGGAAGAAAGCACCACTGGTGTCCCTGCGCCTCCCTTACCAGCCCTGTGCTACTACAGTAAACAGTGAGTAACCCATTCCGGGTAGCTGCAACAATTAGCTGTGGGTTTTTGCTTAAACTTGACTTGCTTGGATTTAGGGAAGTGAGCCGGCGTGCTCAGGAGGCAGACCATGGCTTCTATACATCTTCCTGTTCCACCATTTCAGTGCAGGTTTGGTTGATGGGTCCTGGAAAGCCTCTTCATATGTCTGCCTCACAGCCCTCCCACTTCACAGAATTTGTGCTGATGTTAACAGCAGTGACTGCCCTCATGCAAAGAAAGAGTATTTCTGATAGAATTAAACCTGAGTGAAAATAAAATTCAACCTGATATTTTCAGTAAAAACAAATAAATAACATGTTCATCAGCACTTAGCTACAAGCAGCAAGATCTTTCACTAACCACCACCTTAGTGAAAGTAAGCTACAAACCAGTGCCTATACAAATATTAACTATCATATCTAAATACAGACACTTCACTGTGAGTCTCCTTCTAGGGCTTACATACCCTTTTTTACCGCTGCAAAATTGATGCATAGATACCTCTACTACTTGGCCAACCTGAACTTTGAAGAGAGATTTGCAGTACAAAAATCTTACTTACAAAACACATTAAACCAGTTTCTGTGCTTAGCATTACAGTTTCCTTCCTTATGAATGGCAATGCAAATAGGGTCTTCTAAATAATGAGAATACACATATATATTTTAATACACATAAAATTACTTAACAGTTCTTAACTATTTTGTGCCACTGCCAGCATATTAGGGTGGAATTTACCATACCAAAATACATGACAATGCCCTAAAAAAGTTCAGAGTGGTGAGTAAAACTTTTGGAACAATTATCCAGCAAGAAGTATATGCTGCCTTAAAGCTGCAGGCATAATTCTCATTCTGACCGGACAAGAACAAGAAACCAAAAAAACGCTCCATCAATTTAGGGAGTATGACCAGAAACTGGATAAACTTTCTGAGAAAACACTGCTTAGAAATGTTGGATTCCATTTACAGCTGTAGAAATAACTCTGCTTGCTTCTACAGAATAAGAAACTAATCACCGATAATAACATTGCTTAAGCCCAAATGATAGCAATCTTTTATTTCAGGTCTTGATTGAGCAAGTACAGAAACATATACCTCATGCTGGGACTAGGCACATAGGACCTCCCTTCTCCCCCCTGCCTCCAATAAATAAATTCTGGAAGCTGTGTGATGCTGTCAGTGCAAGTAGTCACTTGCCCTTTGACCTGCACCTATGTCCCACTTCCAGGTGGGTCAGCACCTTCCACATCAACTTTGTGTGCTTCCCAAGCAACATACAGAGCCAGGGCAATAACCACAGGAGGTGTACTAAGAACTCCTACTTTATACAGCTGCTGCTCACTTTTAGAGAATAATCACGGCCAGAGAAACTTTAGCTCTGGCTTTGCCCCCTGAAATTGTTGGGTGCTAACCCCTACTGTTTCTCGGGGGCCTGCATCACACACCAGTTGCCAGCCCTGCAGCAGGCATGAGTGTTACAACCCACTGAATCCATGCCTGAACTATAGCAGCCCTCACTTCAGGCAAGATTGGAAGAACAAGCAACATTTCAGTTTGCCATACAGTTTATCTCCAAAGACTGGTTTGGTTCAGTCTTGGCAAGGGTGGCTAAGCTACCTTCATGTAGCAGTTGTCCTCCTGTGCAAGGGCTTGTACAAGTTTCATTTTTTTCTCATTCTTCCTGTTGTTTTCCCTCAATAGTTCCACTGGTCTTTTTTTAACTGCAGGTGCCAGTCTGGAACCCCCACTGTGAATGGTGTGAGAACCAGAAGGACAGGAATTATCCACAAAAAGAGGAGGTGACAATTTGTCTAAGACCAGGAGCTCCAGGGGCTCTGCAGTTTTTCTCTCTAAGTTTAGCCCAATGCTGTCCAGTGATTCTTCTGGTAAGCTAGCTGCTGAGCCACACCTCCTGCCTACCGCATGCTTTATCGCCTCTTTAATTTCCTCTGTATTTCCAAATTTCCTCAAGTGGTTGTGCGTGTAGCAGTGAAAGTCAGTATTTAGTCTGTTACTGCTGCTCTCTTGCATTCCTTTACCAGTATAGTTAAAGCTGTTAGGTTTCGTCCCCTTTATAGTTTTTTCTCTGCTGTTAGAATCTTGACAATTCAGCTCTAACAAATGCAACAGCTGTTCGTCTCTGCTGGTATTTTCATCTTTGCTATCACTAGACAGCTCATTAGAGTTGATGATCCAAAGGCTGCCATCACTGGTATGTGTGACATTCTCACTAGAGGCTAAACCTGGGACAATGCTGCAGTCAAAACCCTGTACAATCAAACATATGTGGTCATCTGTCCTCCGGTCAGGTTCACAGATTATGGCATCTGGAGGTGTTTCTCTCATGTTGTTGTACAAAAGACGAATGAAGGGTTCATACAGTGACCTAGAGATAACCTCACTGTCATTGTCACAGTATGTACCATTATATTTAACTGCATTATCAAAAGGTTGATAACCAGACGGTTGAGGTCCAATGGGGCAAGAAATAATATTGGCTTTCTTTTGAACATTTTGGTATGTTATTTTCTTATGTATTTCTTCCTCTGGCAGGAAAGCTGAAGCACTGTCATTTGCATGTGTGGAGAAAAATGGAAAATCAGTATGTTCTGAACAGGTGTTCTGAAAATCAAGCTCAGTGCAGGGAGATCCGTAGTTGGTGTAACATGTCTGATTGCTAGGGGGTCGATAAATTTGATCTCTGCAGCTAGGTTCTGGTGTCTCTGAAAACTGTGTCAAAGGTGGTGAGGAGCGCATATTTTCAAAACACAGAGTCAGGCTACTGTTAGCCATAGACTGAGACATAAGGGTATCAAAGCTCTTACACATAGAGCTACTTGGTTCCTTGAATGCAGACACAAGAATATCAAAGCTCTTGTATGCAGAACCACAGGGCTCCACAGATGGAGACATGAGGGTGTCACAGCTCTTGTATGCAGAACCACAGGGCTCCACGGATGGAGACATGAGGGTATCGCAGCTCTTGTAGGCAGAACCACAGGGCTCCACGGATGGAGACATGAGGGTATCACAGCTCTTGTAGGCAGAACCACAGGGCTCCATGGATGGAGAGATAAGGGTGTCAAAGCTCTTATATGCAGAGCTACACAGCCCCATGGATGGAGACACAAGGGTATCAAAACTCTTGTGTGGAAGGTTGCTTATTTTGTCTTTTTTGGTCCCAAAGGATGGGTGTGGAAGGTTGCTTGTTTTGTCTTTTTTGGTCCCAAAGGATGGTTTATTTGGAGATTCCTGGATCAGGACACACGAGTCATGCTGACTTTCAAAACTGCATGGAAAAAGGCTTTGATGAACCATACGTTGAAGATCTCTTGCATCCAGAGAAGCAGAATTTATGCTGGAGCTCTGATAGCCAGATTCAAATGATTCTTCTGATTGTTCAGACTTCTTGCTGGCTGTACTACAATTGTAGTCATCTTGAGAGGCTTTGGTGAAAAGGGAGACCGTATGAGAAATATCACATAGCTGCTGACTCTGGGCTGCACTTTCTTTTGGATTTCGTTGTGATGGATTTCCTGACTCAAGTTTCTCAAAGGTTTTATTCTCACCTGTGATGATGTCTGGCGTGTTGTTTTCATCTGCCAGGAGCTCAATAAACATGTTAGCTAGTGCATCATTGTGTTCAGTGTGCTCTCTGAAAGCACTGACACTGCTCCCACAAGGCTCAAACATGGTGATCTGGTCACTAGTCTCTTCCTGGCTCTCAGCCTCAATGTCTGTTAAACATTCACAGATTTCTATAGACTCTTCAACCAGAATTGTCTCAGGGGTTAACACTGCACTGCTGCCTTTTGGAAACCACTCTCCAGACTTGCTGTGGCAACTGCAAGATTTCGCAACATTTCTGATGTTATCTTTTCCCTTGAAGTTTTGGCTTGACAAACTTTGAGCCAGGCAGTTCTTGCAACTTCTGTTTTTGGAAGTCAAAAGGAAAGGACAGTTAATGTTTATGTAATAGGAAACTATTTCATGCTGTAAAGCAGAGGGTTTTTTTCCTTTATCTTACTTACATTTGGTTTTCCATATGACTCTGCTTTAAGTCATGGAAAGGGAACTTAATTTCATCAATGTAGCACAAAACTGAAAACTAATAAAGATACAAATGAGATTTAGGACACATGTGAATCGTATTTAGTATCCCCTGCACTAGCCAGACAATAGCACTTACTACATATTCTACTTCTGGTGATCAGGAAAAAGTATTTTTTGCAAAGCCTTTAAATTACCTTGACATTTTTTACGACCAAATGGCTCTTTGCTGGATTTGGGATTTGATCCCACCATTCTTTCTTCACTCTGCAAGGGAAAAATTAAAATTGTTTGCTTTGACTGTGTTTTGGTTTCATCAGCATACATTTCCCTTTTGTGTTCTTCTCTCCCTCTTAGCCATCTGCATTGCAGCAACAGGAAATGCTTGTTCTGTGCATCTCCAAGTGCTGCTTTTCATTGAACTAGTGCAAAGATGTTTATATGTGTGGTGTGCGACTGCTCTGCACAACCAGTCACATGTTCTTCTAATCATGTTTGAAATGATATGCAAAACAGATAGGATCCCACTTTCACATTACCACTACCAATATTTAAAAAGAAATACACATATTTAACCATCATTATGGGAACTCCAGCAAAGACTGGGGTCAAAACTGACAAACCCCATAACTGCAGCCTGTGTTGGATGCTATAACAAGCCCATTCTAGTAAGATTAATAGAGAATATTCAGTTACTTATTCAGAAAATGACAGAGTGCAACTGATTCGTGTTTATAAAACGTTTACTCATAGAGAGCAAGATAAAGGTGCTGAGGAAAAACAAAACATTAGATTCCTGTACTACTGGACATTCAGCTAATCAATAGCAATACTGGTATCTGTGCAAACTGCTACTCTATAAAACCTGTGAACAGTATGATACATACTTGGTAAAACAGAAGTAACAAATGACAGATACTGCCATGATCAGTATGCAGGATACGGGAACAGCCATCTGCAGAATGTCTTCAGCTGTTACTTGGTAATCTGTTAAATAAATATATACATTTACATGTGTATGTGCATATAAATACAAGTCCTGGCAATACCAACTTCATTGCTCTTCTTTTGCACCTTAAAAAAATTGCTCTTTTAGAGGATGTAAAATAAAGCCTCCAGCAGATAAACAACAGAACATACAGAGCTACCAGTGGTGATGGTGTGTGGCATGTCTGAAAGGTCAATGCAGGTACTGCAGTCAGTTACTGTGAATGTTATGAGCTGGGAGAGCCAACATGTACTGTGAGACCATTTGTCATCTCTCGGGGACAAAACCTGTCACAGTCCCTAAAATGGCATTATCATCTCCATTGTAGTGCAGCTGTGCCTCTTGTCCTCTCCGTTGCTCTTCAGAGATTTTTATAAGCCCTCAGCCCCCTGATGGTTAAAGTATTGCTTAATTTGCAGCCTAAATACCTCTTGTTCATTTATACCCACTTGCTCTTCCGTCAATGTTGTTCTTTAGTTTAAATATCTCTTCTCCTTCCCTGGTGTCTACTTCATGGAATATTTATAAACACATCCCCTTTCAGCCTTTTTTTCCACAAGGCTAAACAATTCAACTTTCCTTGGTCTTCTCTTCCTTAGTCTCCCCAGCAGTTGCCTTTTTACGTTTAGTCTCTTTGGAAGCCTTTACAGATGTATCCACAATACATTCAAAAGGATGAAGATGATGATTCTATAACTCTCCTCTGAGAGGAGAGCAGCGGGGTATATATGACATGGTTTATAAAACTATACTATACTTTTATCAAGCTGCTATTCGTTAGAATACTTACCATAGTGAAATTCAACTTCTTCACTCCATTCACTCCAGTAGGCCGGGTAGTCTATATAGTTACATCTTACACTGGCAACGTAATCACAGCCTTTCCTCAAGGAGCTTGCAGTAATTTCAAAGCTTTTTGTCTGGTAGTTAATTGCTTTTACAGAAACCTGAAAACAAAGTGAGAAAGTTCACTTTGATTTCTTCATGAGGTGAAGGGTTAGTGACAGCAATTAAATATTTAACAATAGCGTTACGTGTTTCAGCGACCTTTCACAAATGAGCAAATGAATGACTGTATACCTAATCTGCTGTGTGTGATACTGCATTTTGTTGTCATGAGCAGGTGGTATTTGTGACATGCCACCATGCATGTTCTTCCCCTACCAGAAGAAGCCCAGTCCTAAAGTGCTGGATTGTTCAGGAGGGCGTCTAAAATGCCTCAAGTGCGTCACAGAGTCACGAACAGCCTCCAGCTTCCTGATGTCTAAGGAGCAAATGAAGGTCAGTGAACATAAGCACTGTATTTTCAATCTCTGCCCTGTCTACTGTGCGCAGCAGACCATTTTGGGGTGGCAGTCAGAAGAGTTTCAATCCTTTAAAGCCCAGCTGAACCACCTTGAGGCAATGTGACCTGTGGCAAGTATGTGATCAGGAACTTTGTGGGACTTGCCCTTGCTGGCCCTTACACCATTATTCATGAAATGGTTTCAAGACTTTTCAGAGGACTTTTTTAAACCTGAAAGCTCCAGAGACACAGAAAATGAAGAGACTGGCTGTCTCTTACCTCTGTCGGGTGCTGCTTCCTCCAATATTTCACTTCATAGATGACCGGCTGTCCAGAGAGCATGGATGGAGGAGAGTAGCTCTCCTCCCAGCTCAGATTGAAATTACCATTTTCAACCTTCTCAATGGCAAGATTTTTGGGGGCCCTTGGCTTAACTGTGTGTTAAAAAATACAATTAAGGAGAACATGGCAATGGGAAAGCACTGATGGAGAGAAGCAGAGAGACAAACATTCACCAGAGACCAGAATCTCATCGCAGTCAACGCATTTAGCCCTTTTCACTATGCTGTAGCACAAGGATATAGAGGCCAAAACACACCAACTGCAGGGTATTCATTAACAAGCACTGAATCTTCAAGCTGGCTGAACAAACTGCAAGTTCAAACCTGCACCGGCTGCAGCTTTCAGCCTGGAAAAATGGGAACAACCTGCACCCTCAGAATAGCTGTGCCGTGGGCTACGCACAGAGCTTCTGACAACTTTGCAGCCAGGCTGTCCTGGCTACCTGTCTCTTAGAAACTGATGCAGGTTCCTGCTTATTCTGCTGATAAACAGCAGCAACAATCAAATATTCTGAAAAGAACCAGCTCATCAATGCAGATGAATGCCTGCCTAATCTGAGTGTTTGAGGTGACAAGTGTTACGAACAAGCACACTGTTCTAAACAAACTAGATGCCTACAGAGAGACTTAAACTGTATCTACGCTCTATACTGTGAAAGAGCAGAGTCATTAACTTTTTATCATTGATTGTTATAATCCAACAGCAATTACTGTAAAAATCTCAGTTCATACTCAACTAGTATGAAAAATCAGAGTATGACAGAGACAGGAATGGAAGAAATTTCAGTAGGGATAGCCTAATGTCTTTCTAGAAACTGGAAGGAGCACATTCCTCTTCATCCTTGAATTCTACAGCCACAAGTAAAATGCACTAAAGACACATCTAAGACCCCAAACTGCTGCTGGCTGGCAGCTGTGAGGGTACGGCTAGAGGAAGGATCGCTCTCTGCTTGCCCCATTACTTACACCCTTTCCTTAAGAATCTACTCCAGAATCAGGTTTCTAAGCCAAATGGATTTTGCATTTAAGCCAGCATGGCACTTTTCACCTCTGATAAAGAAAAATTGTTCCAGTGACATGAATGAGGAGTTAGCTAGGATTGCAAAGCCTGGAACCAGATGTCCTGGTGACAAAGTAAACAGTTTCTTACCAACCAGGGCTGGTGTAACACTGTAATTCCACATATCAGTCCCATTGAACTGCAGAGCTAAAATATACGTGAGGCCTGATACAAAATAATCCGGACATATTGTGCAAGTGCACCTTAAACTGTCTTTTCCATTCTCAGGGACACACACACGATTTCTGAAAAACAGGCAGAAAATTATGTGATGTTTAGAGAGTGTGGCACACTATTTCTTGAAAAGGTGAAATCAAGCTTCCCAATGTGTAGAGCTAATCAAATGTGAGACAAACAAGCTCATTTCCTAGAAACATTTAGCCCAAACAAATCCAAACCAAAACTGAGCTCCCCCAAACTCCCAAACAACCCACCCTCCCCCAACACTCCTTGGATATCTGTATCGCACAAATGAAAAATTTGACAGAAAGGCTAAGGATTGATCCCAAGACGAAAAATTAACACCCTTTGTCACACTTCAACCTCTGAAGGAGTGGACTGACAGCTTGCTAGCATAGGAACAGGTTTACTACGGTGTACAAAGTGAGGTTATTTGAATGTCTGTGTGGAGAAATATGGAGATAACAGGAGAGCCCAGATGCATCTTCCTTTGCAGGACATGACGACTGGCCCTGCTGCAGAACAGGGACAGCAGTCTGTGCTTGAACATGGAGTTAGACTGTACGCAGAGATAATCACCTGGGCTCCAGGGGAGAGTACCTTTCACACAGGCTACAGACTGGTAAATCAGGTAAGATTTCTCCTGAAGGAGGTAAAATTTCACATGAAATGAAGGTTGGGTAAACTTATGAGAGTCCTACCACTCCTATAAGTAGGACTTTATCACTCCTCTGTATTAAGAGTGCAGGGAGGTCTGCAGAAGGGTAGACCACTGAACAGAGCATGCTATTAATTGCAGCAACCCATTTTCCTTCTGGCAAGAAAAATGATCTGGATTACATTTTGTCCCAGACATCCATAGTAGAGGGAGGGAATCAAAGCTGATAGTAGCTATAGGATTTATGAAGTTCCAACAATGATAATGTAACATCTTATTAAACACTTACGGCAGAAAAAAAAATTCCTTCCTGTAGTAGAGCAGGAATTCTTTGGAGCAATTCGTTTGTGCAGGCACCTTCCAGTGACAAACCAGCTCTTTGTCATAGTCAGTGAAGCATGCAAATTCCTGTACATGTCCTGCAGCCATAACTAGGCAGAAGAAGCACACAATGAGAAGCAAGAGAATCAAACTAATAAATTGGACTACGCAGAAACATTAACTTTTCCAACTAAACAGAGCTACCAATCCCCTATAAATTAAGTGAAAGCATTGTTATTTTTTGTGTTTTGGGTAAGCGAAAAGGGATGCATGTCACCAAATGTCTCCACCTTTCTGGAGACAACGTCTACGGTCTTAGAGAGGAAGGAGGTCTGCAGTAGTAATATTGAAATAGAAAGGCACAACTCATCCAACACAGTCTTCCAAGCAAAATCTGATTCCGATAGCTTGATCTAAAACACATCAACATTTAATTATAAAACAGCATCATCCTATGTGTTAAAAACAAAAGATTCAAAACCAAAATGCAGATAATTAACAGGGTCAGACCAAGATCACTGCCTACAGGCATGTACTTGTGCTTTATCTACAATGGTTCTAAGCTTCCCAAACGCATGCCCTCTGCCTCCCCAGAGCAGTTCCCCATTGCCTAGAAGATCTTCCTGTCACAGGCTTTCTTCTAGTATACACCTTTTCTTAATTTCACTCAGTATTTCCTGTTCTGTCTTCTACTTTTCATTGTTATGATAGTGTTCGCAGACCTGGAGAGATTTAGTCACATTGTTCCAGGCATTGAGAGGGTACAGAAAAGCCCAAAGTCTCTGCACTCACAATGTTCGTGTTTACAATCTCTTTCACTGGCAGTATTTAAGAAAAAAAATAGAAAACATTGGTCAAAATATCTTTGTTAGAACTGGAAAGGGAAATGGAATATACAATCCTCAGTATCCCTTCCATCCTCATTTTCCGTCATTTCAATGCACTCCACACGTGACAATAAGGTCATGCTGTTATTAGGACTAACAGTGTGCCAAATGTGATGCTGGAATGTGATCATTTCTAAATGAAGCAGAGAATTCTTTGCCGCCTTTGATGTTTCACTTCTCCGTTATTGGTAAATATTAACAATATCTCCCTTTTCTTGCACAAGTTGTACAGATCTAAATCCTTCTCTCCTGTGCTACATCTCAATTCCCCATAAAAATTTAGAATAGCTTTGGCTGGTTTTTAGAATCCTATTAATTGATATTTTTCTGACAGTTTCCTAAGGGATTCTGCTAGAAGGTTTCCTGCGGCAATTATACAAGGGCCATATAAAGACATGATTTCATTTCTCTATAGTACATAAATAATTTTGTTTACATGGCCCAGCACATTACTAACTCTCCATTCTTGTCATTTACATTGCAAATTCAAGATTAAGTTGCCAGCAATTCACACCCTGTGAGGTCCTTGTCCTTCAGCCACTGCTGCTTCACAGGCTTATTCTTTCCAATGGGTACCTACATTTCAGATTATTCCTCCCAAGCAAAAACTTTTGTTGTCAAAAATACCCAATTTCATTTTATCCTTCCTACATTTCTACTTTCCTGTAGTCCACTTGTGTTATTTATTCTGGTATAACTTCTGCATACTCTGATACACTACAGCATCTGCAAGTGTAATAAATATGATTATCAGATGCCTTTTACTGGACATGATACATTACATACAACGGGCTCTACCACCAGACCCTCTGGTACTTCAATAAAAACCTGACTCAAAGAAACACTTAGTTGTTTAGTACTGTCAACATACGGTCTTTAACCCTCATTAAAATCCACACATCACTTTCACTTCCTTTCTAAAAGGCTTCCCACAAAACTTGACTACCACGCAGTCCTGGATCACTTGAGTAAGCTCAATAACCTCAGTGAGGCTCACTTACGCAAATGACGATGTACAGCAATGACAAGGAACCATTGAAAAATTCTATAAAAATCATCATCTAAATTTTCTGGTACATTGACTGGTTATAAACCTAGAACTGAATGCAGCTTGTGGTGTCATTAGTGTTCAAATATTTAGAAAATGTTTTGTTTTGTTTTAGTTTCTAAGACTAGATATTTATCTTGTAGATAAGAACTATCTTATAACTTATATCCTTTCTGGATGGCAGCACCACATTTAGTTCCCTTTTGTTCTGCATGGTCCCCGATTCTTCAAAAAAACCCAAGAATCATCACAAGAGCAGCAAGTTGAAGATTAAACTTCTGCAATACTGTAACAGTCACACTGCTCATTTACTTTAAAGGAACCATTATCTATTTATCCTGTTACTGTTGTTTATATTTGGTTGCCATTTGTATTTTTATTGTTAGTTTCTTTTTTTTTTCCCCACACTTTAAGATGCACTTTTAAAAGAAGTATTAACATTTTAAGCCCTTTAAAGATGAACGTCATTATTTTTCAATGTGTTAATGATCTTACACTTTCAAGAATACTTCAATTAAATGAAGCTCTTCCTGCTGTGTTAAGCTATGATGATTAGCAGCTTTATGTTATCTTGCCTTTCAGTATCCTCATGTCTTTCCAGAACTCTAAATTTTCTTCTGTATTCTTTTCCTGTGACCTTCTCCCTTTTCTATCTCTGGTACACCGTTTTTTTTTTAAACCTCAGATATTTGAGAATTTCCTTTTGAAACCACATACAGTACTGAGTTTGTTTGCAGTTTGTGTAGTTAAAAAAGGGAACTGAAATACTGGATTTCTTTTTTAATCCTCAACTAGAATACCACGCTGAAGAAACTTAAAACATGTAGTTAACTAGGGGGAAAAAAAAATTCTGTAAAATTAAACCTTGGTAAAGATCATTTACAGAAAATGTGGGATTACCTAGATCAGATGACTCAGCCAATGCGCTCTTGCAAACCTTGATCGTTCTCATTAATTCAAATTGTACTATTTCATAGTACATAGGAAGGTAGCTAATAAACCTTCTTTTTTAGAGACAGGCTATTTTTAATTTTCTTTTAACTATTTTGGTTTTCTTTAAAAAAAAAAAAGAAAACCAAAAAACTGTAGACTACTGTGGAACCACTTAAAAACTACAGAAAGCAAAATGCAAGATTCATTTTCCAGAGAATAAAAATGCATTGCTGGAAAACATGATTTTATATATCATACCTGTCTTTATAATCAAGTATCATAAAAGATACAAGGAAAAAAACATTTTCATATTCAGCCCCTGCCAACTGAACTTCAGAAAATAACCATTAGCTAACAAGCAGCATTAAGACTTAATGCAACTGCATGTCCTGCCAGACCAAAAGAATGGTGTAGTGAAGAACACATAGGACATCACGTCAGTCATCTGCCCCTGTACAGGCACAAGTCAGAGCATGTAATGTCTCACAGCAAGTGCCTGCAAAATTTTTTCAAATCCAGTCAACTAAATTTTCCAACTTAGTAACCCGGCACACTTCGGAGAACACAAATTGACACATGCCCTCTAACAGTAGATCTACAGGCTCCATTTCATCAGCATAGCTCCCTTCAAGGTCCCGCATGGCAAACAGTGGCAGTTAGGAAAATAAGCAAATAAGAGACTAGTGCTTTCTACTCTTATGGGATTTCTACAGAGATGTCCCTGGGTTATTGCTAAGCACCTTATTTGCAGCAAGGTGTCCAATAGAGATTAGATAATGGGGAAGCACGGAGATGACTTTCCAAACCTCAGCTTCTCCTTCCTGCAAATTCCTATTTTTTCTTGCCCATATGGAAAAGGTCAATAAAAAGAAAAAAATCTAAGAATTTATTCTAGTATACGGATATTTCTGACATTCGAAGTTACACATTTTATATTAGTTAATTAATGGTAATAGTGTTGCCTACTAGTCATGGGAAAATGCTGTCTATAACAAGTTCAGTATAATAATTTAAAACATTGACAAATGTACCTTCATTTGTTGTATATGAAAAGAAAAGGATCCACAGGGTATGTGGTGCAGCTCTTGGGAGTTTTGCCATCATTGGCACTGGCCGGGCTCAGCAGGACAAGCTGAAATTCTGCCAACAGAAAACATTACTATAAGCTTACATCAGTGTCCCAATTAAGGTAAAGGCGTAGTTCTTCCTACCACTCTGTTAGATCTTAGGATTCAGATCCCTTGCAGTGCCTGATCCCCCTAAAGTTAGCTCATGGAACAACGAGAAGTGTAGAAGAATAAGGGTAATACAAATGAGCTAGAAGACTTTTCTGCAAAGTTTTAATTAGAGGATACTAGCCTGACATTGGCAGTGGACCTACTCTTTTCAGCTACTAGAAAAGCAAAGCTGCTAGCTAGTATGTGAGATATTAAAAGGGTAAGCACTAGACCAAAATCATTGACAATCAACATGTCACCAAAGCCTTATGATTCTACTCAGATAACTGAAAGAATTTAAGAATGAAGTGTCTGATCTATTGACTAAAACGTTTTCCCCAAGTCCTATCACCAGTACCCTAGATAATAAGAGTATCATCCTCTTGAAAAAGATTTTAACAAAGACCTCTGAGCCTTGCTTCAACAGGATGCAGATTCATTAAAACAGTAAATAATTAGAAAGAAGTTGTGAAACACATACCTAATAATGATATAACCAGCACAACTTTGGAGAAGGTAAATTCTGCAGCTTTTACATATTAGAATTCTATAAACATAGTGAAGAACACTGAAAACAGATGAAATAATTTAAGACTTTCAGAAAATTTATTTCCCCAAGATTCTTTTGCTGATGCAACGTAGACACTTAGTGGAAGATCATATTCTGGGTTAGATATGGATACCAGCTTTCATATCACTAGAAATGTATGTGATGCATTTAAAATTTTGCTAAATTCGTAGGTAAAGTCATGCTAACTAATACAGAACAACCACGACTTTGCATTCAGTATAAAGAGGGATAAAACTTGTTCAGCAGCTCATTGTCAATACACAACCCTTTTGTCCCTTCCTCTCATGCTCTTGGATTTTCTAATCTCCCACTCTGGACGCAGTGTTCTTACTACCTGCGTGCTACAGTTGCTCTGCTTACATTTGCAAAGTTCCCAGGTGGCATGTTATTTTTGATTTCAAAACCTCATGATTCCCTCTGTGTGACTGAGTAAGAGAAGAGAACTTCTCAGAAGATCTCCTTTAGCAGAAGAGTGGTGTTGGGCTTTCTGCAGAAGTTTTGTTAGATTCTGAAGTAGAAGAGACCATTGAAACGCATTTGTTGATGGTTGTTCAATACCCTCTGCTCCACTACAGTAGTAGAACAACCTTTGACGCTTCTGACAGATTTGAGTTTCACCAGCACACAAGACAAAAAGAATTGACGAGGGATCAGCAACTCTGCCGTGGTGTAAACTTGTTAAGTGATTAGCTTAGGAAAAATTTAATGACCTTTTGGAAGTATGCATGTGGGCACTGTATACATGCAAGGATGTGTAACCTCAACGGCATGCTACCAAAGCCATACCCCCTCAAATAACTCCTCTCTAAAACCAGGAAGATTCTCAAGCACAGATGCTGAATATTTGTTGTCAAATATTCAAATAGAATAAACACAAGGTAGGCAACAGCTGGACTCTTTCTCAGTTGAGTAAGGGACAGAAAAATAACTTTTTTTTTTATAAAGATGACCACACCTTTTTTTGATAAATATATCTACATAAATCAAACTATTGTGAAATGCAGCAATAGAATCTTAAATTTTTCCAATATACTTAGAAGTCCTAGCACTTCACTTATAATCAATCTTTACTTCAGTATGTCAGATTCAGCTCCAAGGCAATTGCCTCATAATCCAAGTTTCTGCACTTGTCAGAAAAGTCACCTTTAACAATGCTGTATTTCTTATTTCTTCCATTGTCACATGCATGATTGACCACTCTTTAAAACAAGCTACTAAAGACTAAACATGGAAAATTTCAATCTTAGAGGTTAAGGGATAAGAACATTGTTAGTGAAAATAGAAGATTAGAATGGAAACTCTTTTGTGACCTTCTCTGAGGTGGTTACTGCTCATCTAGTAATAAAGGACATACTGGAAAGACAAATTTCTCATAAATGCTCAAGAAAACTACTCCTCAAGAGCTGAGCTTTTCACATTTTGGAAACAGACAAAACCTGACTAGGCACAGTAATAAATTTTGGGAAAGGACACAAGTGCCTTCACTGCTGCTCAGAAAAAAAAAAAAGAGCAAACTGCTCCAGCATAAAAAAAAATCCTTCTTCCTTTCCTCCTTTTTCCTGGAATTCTCAAGAGACGCAGTGTTTGCTTTCCAGTCCATTGTCGCATGACTGGAGTTCCAAGAAACTCTTAAAACTTGGGCAGAGAATCCTGTATCACATAAGCATGTATAAATCGGCAGATGGCAAAGCAAAAGTATCTCCCCATAGGAGAAAATATCTGCACATGTTGATGAAAATGGAGTTAACCCGTAGCTCTAATGAAACTGCAAACTTTTTTTTACAATAAGAGTAGTGGACTACAAATCCAATGCAAAGGGAGAAAATTTTAAAATGGCAATAGCTTTCCTGTCTGTCAGCTCTTAAGTTTTTTTTTTTGTATCAGATAATGAAATACCAATCTTAAAGAAGTATGTAACACATACAGAGAATACTAAAATCACAGCAAACCTAGTAATCCTGATATAGTTGAGGAAAATAAGGTGTAAAAGACATAACTGACTTCCCCAAAACTCTGAAAGCAATCTCTGTCAGGGCTAGAAGCAGGTCTACATGATTACTGGCACAAGTTACATGCTTTTATCATTTCTGTCTCTTGAAAGAAAATATGACATGATTGAAAAGGTTTCATTTACTATCAAGAAAAACAATAATAACTTCTCGTCTGAGCATCTAAATAAATTAGGGTCACATTTAATCTAGAGGCATAATTTGCAAAATTGTTACGCTCAAAGAATAACTCATGCCCAGACGACAGGCGATTGTAATTTCTACGTAAGACTGCTTAATTTACCTTCACTGCAACTGTACAGGTAAAGGATGACTTGCTATTTTAAAAGTGGCTCTTTTTAAAATTAAAGTACATCTTGCCTTATTCTTTCTGATTTAAAACACTTGCTGTAACCGCAGACTAAAATGAGATAAGCAGTATATAGCAAAGCAAAGCAAAAGTTCATCAAATGATTTTGTATCAAAATTTGAAAAGGAAAAAAGTTAGGGAGTAATTTCCATCTTTTTTTTATTGCTGCTTTTAATTCTTTTTTTTTGCTAAGTGCCTATACAAAATGGCAGACCTACAAGAACATAAATTGTAATACCTACTCTTTGACAGGCAATGTGACTGCCAGAGACAACCACACGAAGTATGTGTATGGTGAAAAGTGTAGGCATCTCAAAGTGGGTTTTCACAAGAATTTGGAAGCTGAGGAGGGAGTGCTGCATACTACATTAAGGAGGAGGTTTAGATGAAAGGGTAGACTGAAAGGTATATAGAAGCTCCAACAATTAAGGATGGCAACTTTTGTCAATGAAGGGCCAAAAGATAAAATTCAATAGTTCCCACTTTCTTTTATCTAAACTGAAAAGTAAACCATTCCCACATACTTCTTTGCCATTCAGTTAATACACCATTGTGTTAATGTTATGTCTTCTTGCTGAGACCACTGCAGTGGAAAGCATTGGGTAAGCAGAAACTCAAATCCATGACCAGGTCCTTAGATTACGGATTCTTTAGTGGGGAGACTTTGTCCCATTTCTTATCTTAAAGGGCGTAATGCACATATTATTGCTTATCTACACAGTATTTCCTGCATCATTGTATGATCACTAAAGAAGGAATTCTACTTCAGAATGGCGGATTTTAAAGGAGCAAGACATTCTTTTTTATTCTTTTTAAATGAGTAATTTTACTAATATTTTAATGTCATCCTCGTTCCGCAAATTCCTTCATGTAGTTTGGGATACTTACCATTAAAGTCATTTTCCACAACAACATGCAACAACATACAAATGATATCTGCGTTTCTGGAGCAGGACAGAGCACATCTGGATAATCCTCATAAATATGAGAAGAGCCTCTCAAAATGAGCAGATGGGTTCTCTTTACAAAAATCTGAAAGTGGTCAATTTTTATTCACGACTTAAGCTGAAGTTTCTGCATTCCAGCATATTTTCATATTGAGATGACAGAAGTCAGTAAAGGGCATAATAACATGCCATTTGGGCCTGTAAGGAATACAGTACTTCCACATAATTTGACAAACTGCAAATCATAGTCTGCAAAAGGCAAGATTAACTTCAGATATTTTCTAATTTAGAACTGACAGAAACTATGGAAACTGCTGAATTTGGACATGTTGAAAAAAATGCCAAAAATAGAAGACGTCTAGACTAAAACGACTAGAACAGCTTACTTCTGAGACATTTCTGAACCCCTGGTTCTGACAGTGTAGCATAAATTGGTCTCAAGTTCTCTCGGAATCCATACGCACTGGGAGTAATTTTTAAAGCCCGAAATCCGAGATTCAGGAACAGCTCTGCACTTCAGAGCAAGCTCGTGTGGCGAGTTCTCTGACCACGGGTCCCGGCTAACACGGCTGTTACAGGTGAGGTCTCGTACTCCCAGCACCCCTCAGGCGGGATGTCCAGCAGGAAGGAAATTTCTGGGAATTACACCAGTTTTGTCTGAAATTATTTCAAAAGGAGCGCCTGAGTCAAACAATCTCAAGGAAGGAAAAACACTTCTGCCAAGGACGAGGCTTTCGCTACTCGCGGGCCCCAGCGGCGCCCCGGCCGTTCCGCGCGCCCCGGGGAGCTCCCGTCCCCGCCCGGTGTCCCGACAAAGCCACGACACGTTTCACAGCAGGGACCGGAGCTCCGCC